TTTTTCAGGACTCTGCCTGCCTGCGTACCCCATGTTCACTCAGCCTCCCGGATCTTCGAACAGTGGGTCAGCGTCTAAAATACCTCCTGAGTCATCCCCTCCTCTCATTCCTCCGATTCATGTCTTCATAATCTTCAGCTGGACTGCTTGCTGCGGGATCCTCATCTCACCTCCCTGCCTTTCGTCTCACCCACTGCCCCAAAAATACTCCCCACAGTCTTGCCAGAATCCGATCGTGCTGTTCCTGTATATAAAGTCCTTGGACGACCCTTCCAGGGGCCACCATTTCTCATGTGGCACACGAGGCTCTGCGGGGTTAGGCTCCTGCCACCTCAGGGCTGCTCGTCCGCAGCCATATCAAGCGATTCCTTCAATGTGTCGTGTTGTTTCACATCTCTATCTTACTCTTCCTTCTGCCTAGAATATCCACTCCCTAACCCCACCCTTACCCCTGGCCTGCAGAGTCCTAGTCCCCCTCTAAGACTCTGTGTAGTCACCACCTCCTGTGTCTGTGACACTTTTCCCAACCCCCCTCCCCAGTGAAAGGAGGCATTTCTCCTGGGACCAGCACACCAGAGTGCAGGCTTTTGAGCCACTCTCTGGGTGCGTATCTCGGCTTCTCACTTACCGGCGCTATGGCTTAGGGGGGAGTACTTGACTATGCTGTCCCTCAGTTTCCTCACTGCTAAATAGAAATGATGATTTCCACCTCATTGATTATCGATACAGATGTTGAGGTGTTAGCTTCTGATATCATCATCGTGTTGCATTGCGTTCATGTGGTTACAGTCTGTATCTCCCCCCCCGCCCCGGCTCTAGCGCTTTTGAGAGTTGTGAACTGCTCTTACTCACCTTTATCATTCCAGCATTGAATCTGGTACATAACTCGTAGCCTGAAAACACTCGGGTGGGTAGGTGGGTGGATGTGTGAGTGAGCGGGTTAATGAACAAGTCTCACGTGCTTGTCACATATTCTATTGACTAGTGGTGTTGAACATCTTTTTAAAAAATATATTTTTATTGATTTCAGAGAGGAAAGAGAGAGAGAGAGAGAGAGAGAGAGAGAGAGAGAGAGAGAGATATGGAAACATTAATGATGAGAGAGAATCATTGATTGGCTGCCTCCTGCACACCCCCTACTAGGGATCGAGCCCACAACCCGGGCATGTGCCCTGACCTGGTTCATAGGTTGAGGCTCAACCATTGAACCACACCAGCCGGGCTTGTGTGCTTTTCCTGTGCTTACTGCCCATTTGTTTATCTGTTTTGGAGAACTAAATCCTTTGCTTATTTTTAATTTGGGATTTTTTTTTTTAATTGTTGAGTCGTTCGAGTTTTTTATGTATTCTGGATACCAGCTTCTTTCCAGATACATGATTTGCAAGGATTTTCTCCCATTCTGTGGTCTTTTTCATTATGTAGAGCTCTTCAAGCACAACAGTTTTTAAGTTTGAAGTCCAGCTTATCTTTTTCCCTTTTTCTTCTTTTGAAGTCTAGTTTATCTTTTTTCTTTTGTTGCCTGTGCCTTTGGCGTCATCCAGAAAACCCTTGCCTAATCCAAGGCCATGAAGATTTATCCTTAAACTTTCTTCGAAGAGTTTTATTGTTTTAGCTCTTGCATTTAGACTCGTGGTTCTCAACCTTCCTAATGCCGCGGCCCTTTAATACAGTTCCTCATGTTGTGGTGACCGCCAACCATACAGTTTTGTTGCTACTTCATAACTGTAATTTTGCTACTGTTATGAATCGTCATGTAAATATCTGATATGCAGGATGTATTTTCATTGTTACAAATTGAACATAATTAAAGCATAGTGATTAATCACAAAAACAATATGTAATTATAGATGTGTTTTCCGATGGTCTTAGGCGACCCCTGTGAAAGGTCGTTCGACCCCCAAAGGGCTCGCGACCCACAGGTTGAGAACCGCTGATTTAGATCTTCAACCCATTTTTCAGTTAGTGTTTATATGTAGTGTGAGGTAGGGGTCTAACTTTATTTTTTTGCTTATGGATATCTATTTGTTGAAAAGACACCCCTCCCTCCCCCGAATTGTCTTGACACTTGACATCTTTGTTTGAACTGTGGCAGCAGCCGCATTTCCAGCTTGATTTGGCAGCCAGCTAGAGGGGTCGGAATTAAGGTCCTCAGATCAGCGGCTCCTTACACTCTTCTGAGGCCTTATCTGTCATTTCTGTCATTTGCTCTGTTATTTTTTTGGATGTCTCAGCTGCCATCGAGATCCAGACGGGCTTGTTTTTCCATAGATTAGAAAAATGCTTCTCGCGATAGGAATGTGCTTTGGAAAGCACGGGAAGGTGGGCTTGTTTCAGTCGCATCCTGGCTCCGGGACTCGGGCTGGATGGACACTGAGTTTGTGGCCAGTGAGGCCACAGGCCTGGCTCAGCGGCTGTTTATACCTGCCATTCCTGAGTGGGAGGGGAGAGGCCTATTTGGATCTTGGAATTTTTAAAATGTTGTTTATTCAGTTCTTCACCAAAGAAGCTAGTCCTTGGAAGTTGGCCCCTGCGCTCCCTCTCTACCTGACTGGAAGCTCTGGGTACCCCCCCTGGTTGCTCATGTGACGATTGGAAGAGTGAGTTGTTAACAGGAGGTGTATTCTTCTGCGCTGTGAAGAGAGGGGGAAACCGTCCTGGTTTCCATTTCTCTGGAAGCACATGTGCTTCTCTGCACCTCCTGTTGGCGCCCACCATACTATGGGTGTCGAGGCACTAGCTGTGAACCCCTCCCACGGGCGTGCGCACTCTGGGGGGCTCTCGCCCTCTTTGCCTTTAGTCCTGGGCTGAAGTGTTCAGAGCATGGCTTGAGGGCATGCGCAGCCTCTGCTGACTCCGGGACCACGGGCAAGTCACTGAACCCCCAGCTCCAGTTTCCTCTTCTGAAAAACAGCATCTCATTGGGTTATTATTTGGGAAAATTAGGGAATATCACACGTGAAATATGAGCGCGATAGTGCGTACTCAGCAGATAGCCACCTTCTCTGCCGTCAGCGTCCTTGTCGTTGCTTAGTTTTTAGGCCCGTGGTCTTTTATGTTCCATTCTCAAATCCAAAGGCTCTGAAAACCGATCTTTTTTTTTTAACTGCTCCTCTGGCAGCAAGACCTGACCTACACAATATGTAGGCCAATTTGGCATTATCGCTGTGAAATGTGCAACTTGGGGGTGGCCCAGGCTTTCCTGGGATGTTGTGCAAGGACAGTGCAAGGAGACGGTGAGACCCTTCGCTGCTCGAAGGAAGAGTCACCGGTGTTGAGGCTGCCCCGGAGGTGGGCAGGCATGGCCGAGCTGGGTGTGGCTTTGTGGGAGATGAGGACAAAGGGGTCAGCGGAGCCGGGTTTAGCATCCCCCTTCCCGCTGTGGAGTTCAGAGCAGGTTGAGCTGGATTAAGATCAGAGCAGCAGCACCTCGCGGAGTGGGCCCCACAGTTGTCAGAGGCCTTGCGGTCTCCTCGAATGCTACAGGCTGCTGGGAAAATAAAGAAAATGGATGAGGGTGAGGCTTTATTCACGCAGCCAGGTGGACTGTTTCTCTTCCTGAGGTGGTTGTACGTTTCCCGTGGGGTTGGGGCAGTGGTGTGTCATGGGAGGGTAAGGAGGGCCTCAGCACAGTCGTGGTCCTGTGACCAGCAATTAAAATGCAAAGGCTGGAGCTGGACTGAAGCTTCCTGAGTTGGCTGAGAAGGGGCTTTGAGTATTAACTGCCATTCATATCAGATAGTTTTGGGATGAGTCATGGTCTCTCTGACAGAGGGGTGAACCATTCTCCAGCAAATGCGTGCTACTTAGACAAGACACACTCCGCATCCTGGTCCTTCCCTCTTCCGATCGTAGGTCGACAGGGGACCTCAGCAGACAGCGTTCCCCAGGGGCTGACCAGGAGCTCCACCACAGATTCTTGTTTGCAGGAGGCTCGGGCTGGTGGCCAGCATACAAGGACCTCTGAGCAGGACACTGGCGCGTTCACTGTTTAACATTTAATCTACCTGCCGTTTCCTTCTGAGTCACGGGGGAGGAAGGGTTTGGAGCCCATTTCGAGAAGGTCTCGGAAGTCAGGGCTCCGTAGGGTTACTGTCTCATCCTCCTGGGGGTCTGTTTGGTTTATTGAGCACATTCTATGTCCATCGTCTTGTGGAAGGAAAGCGGTGACAAGACACCCTTGATCCCTGCCTTCCTGAGCCCCTTGTCTCAAAGGGAAGGCCTGATAAGTGCTGCGAGGGGCCGTGCAGGGTGGTCAGAGAGCCGTGGGCAGAAAGCAGTGTGTGGCTGGGGCCTGCAGGAAGAGCAGGCGGTAGCCGCGTGGTGTGGGGAGGGTGTTCCTGGCACAGCGAACAGGCTGGCCGCGTGGCCCCGTGTGGCCTCTCTGGGGAGGCACAATCACAGGGCCTGCCCTCCAGCGTGGGGCCGCGGGAGGGTCTTGAGCCAGGGCGTCCGTCAGAAGCCGGAGTGGCCGCGGTGTTAGGTTCCTGGGGCTGCCATAGGAAGAACCACAGCTGGGTGGTTTAAAGCAACAGCAACTTAAGTCTCTCGCAGATCGGAGGCCCGAAGTCTGCCCTCAAGGTGTGGACAGGGCCGTGCTTGCTCCCAAGGCTGTGCTTGCTCCCAAGGCTGTAGGCGAGGATCCTTCCGCATCTCTTCCAGCTTCGGGCACCGACTGACATTTCTCAGCTCCTCGAGGCATCACATCTGCGGCTTCTCCGTGTCTTCACATGCGCTCCCTCTGGGCTGTGTCCAAATTGCCCCCTTTCACGTGGACACCAGTCATGTTGGGTTAGGGCCCATCCGACGACTTGGCTTCAATTCGGTTACCTCTGTAAAGACCCTGTCTGCACATCGGGTCCCATTCTGAGGTCCCGGGGTTACACGCTGACATATATATTCTTTTGGTGGGGGGGATACAAGCCAACCTGTACTGCCGTCTGCTGGGGGTCTGGCCCGCCCTGCAGCCTCGCATTTCACCGGTCCTGTGTGTTCTCCTGCAGAACCGGGCCATAGGGAGGCCCAAAGGGAAGCTGGGCCCCGCCTCCGCGGTGAAGTTGGCCGCCAATCGGGCCACAGCGGGAGCTCGCCGGCGCCGGACGCGATGCCGCAAGTGCGAGGCCTGCCTGCGGACCGAGTGCGGCGAGTGCCACTTCTGCAAGGACATGAAGAAGTTCGGGGGCCCCGGGCGGATGAAGCAGAGCTGCATCATGCGGCAGTGCATCGCGGTGAGTGGCACGAGGGGCCTCCGGGCGCCGCAGGACCGGCGCTGCTCTGCAGTAGACCCGGCGCCCCGTCTACATCGGGCCCCCCTACACCGGCCGGTTTGTTTCTCTGCTTACAGAGAAGGTTCCCGCAGCAGCGCGCCCTCGGGAAAGAAAGGGGCTCCGATGAGTGCTGTTTTCAGATTCCACAGGGCAGAGCTTCCTGCCATGGGCTGAGGCTCCTTTTTCTCCATCGTCTGATGGTCTTACACCTCCTTCCTCCCCGAGATGACCGGGTGCTTTGAAGTCTCTGCCGTTAGGGAGGTTAGGGCAGCCTATCCCGTCTGTGACCCCGTTGCCAGCATTTATGATCCAGCTCATGTAGGCCCTCCCTTCCTTCCTGTCCTACCTTCAAAGTCCGAGGTCTGGGTGGAAGGTCAGTGCTCCTCCTGAAGGGGCAGCCCCGGAGAAAGAGGCTGATTTATGGGGCTCCGGGCGGCTGCAGAGCCTGGCCAGCATGGCCCATGGTCTGCCTGTGGGTTCCCTCCCGCATGCACCCATGCAGTCTGCTTTCCCTGGGGTGCTGCTTTCAAGGCCCGGGGGTCCTCCCTGTGGGGGTAGGGACAGGATCCTGGGCGAGCTACTCCCAAGGCCCAGCCTGGCATCCGCGAGCCTGCTGTGCCCTCCAAGCCCAGGGGCACCTCCCCCTTGTCCCTCGACAGGACACACTGTTTTGTTTTTTATTGTAAAAAAATACATAACAAAATTTACAATTTTAACTTGTTTTTTTTGGCAAAATAAATATATTTTTGTGCTATATTCAATACATGTGTACAAGGATTTTTGTGGGGGGTTTTTTTTGGCATAAGAAACATTTTATTCGTACTTAAACTTACTAAAAGTCGATAAGCTCCAATAAATTATCACAATATATTTTCACTTTCTTTTTTCAAAATTTTATTGTTACTTGTACTTACTTCCTAAACAAACAGGCAAAAATCCACTCCCCGATCCACACAACCAAATAAACAGATATATCAATTTCAGTGCACAAATAAAACATTTTTCTTCTGATCAAACGGTGGTTTATGTTCACCAATTATTTTTATCTCTATTTTTTTAAAAGGTTTTTTGGGGGATTTGTAAAATATAGTTTACATTCAATATTATTTTGTGTTGGTTTCAGGTGTACAGCATCGTGGTTAGACAATCATCTATTTTACACAGTGTTCCCCCTGATATTTCCAGTACCCACCTGGCCCTGTATATAGTTAGCACAGTATTACTGACTATATTTCCTAGGCTGTATTTTACATCCCCATCATTTTAACCAGTTTTAAGTGTACAGTACAGTCATACAACCTATATGCCCATTGTTGTGAAACTGATCTCTGGGACTGTTTCATCTTGCCAAATGGAAACTCTATATCCATTAAACCTCAACTCCTCTTCCCCCTCCCGACCCGCCAGCCCCTGGCAGCCACCTTTCTGCTTTCTGCTTCTCAGTAGGACTACTTTAGACGCTGCATGTGAGCGGAATCAGACAGGGTTTCTTCCTCTGGGACTGGCTTATTTCATCCAGCATAATCCTTTTATGGCTCATCCACGCCGTAGCCTGTGGCAGGATTTCATTCTTTTTAAAGGCTGCATGCTATTCCATTGTGTGGTATCTACTGCATTTTCTTCATTCTTTCCTCTGTCCTTGGACATTAAAGTTGCTTCCACCTCTTGGCTATTGTTAATGATGCTGCGATGAGCATGAGTGTGCCGATACCTCTTTGAGGTCCTTTTTTGAATTCTTTTGTATATATTCCCAGAAGTGGGATTGCTGGATCCTATGTAGTTCTATTTTTTTTTTTAAGTTTTTGAGGAACCTCCACACTGTTTTCCATCATGGCTGCACCATTTCACATTCCCACCAACTGTGCACGAGGGTTCCGGTTTTCCCCATGTTTCTTGTTTTCTCCACAATTTCTCGTTATTTTCTGTTTGTTTTTATTTTATTAGAGTGGCCATCCCAATGGGTATGAGGTATGATATCTCATTATGGTTTTGATTTGCATTCTCCTGATGATGAGTGATATTGAGCTTCTTTTTGTAGGTTCGATACGTGATGTCTGTGGGGCTTTTTTGGAGAAATGACTTGAAGTCCTTTGCCCAATTTCTAAATTGGATTGCTTCTGTTTTTGTGGTTGTAGTGGGAGCCTTTTGTATAATTTGGACATTAACCACTTACATAAATGATTTGTAAATATTTCCTCCCACCCATAGGTTGCCTTTTCACTGTTGATTATTTCCTTTGCTGTGCAGAAGTTTTTAAGTTTCATTGCTTCTGTTTTTGTTACATGTACCCAGGTCATTTGAATGGATTTCAGGGAATTTGAGATCCCCCTTGAAATTAAATACAGATTTTTATCTGTGTGTGTGCGTGGGTGCATTTTTGTAGAGAGGTGGTCCATGTGACTTGTTGTGTTCTGTCAGGATTTGAGAGGTTGTCTGTAGAGGCTCTTGTTTTTGAAAACAGTGTCACCTAAAACTGGGTGTGTTGGCCATGACCTGGGACTGTCTTTCCTTTGTAGCCTTGTTTTTTCTCTTCCACCCTCTCCCTCCCGCCCAGTGTCCCAGGCCCAGTTAGAGGAAACCTGTCTCTGCTATCACCTATTTTATATATATATATATATATATATATATATATATATATATATATGTATGTATTATTGATTTCAGAGGGAGATAGAGCCCAAGCCAGTTTGGCTCAGGGGATAGAGTGTTGGTCCTGTGGACTGAAGGGTCCTCCCTGGCTCCTGCAGGAGACAACCAATTGATGTGTTTCTCTCACATTAATATTTCTCTGTCTTACCCTCTCTCTTCTAAAAATCAATGAAAAATATCTTTGGGTGAGGATTAAAAAAAAGAGAGAGAGAGAGAAATAAAACATCAGTGATGAGAGAGAATCATCAATAGGCTGCCTCCTGCACACCCCACACTGGGAATTGAACCTGCAACCCGGGTATGTGCCCTGACCAGGAATCGAACCATGACTTCCTGGTTCATAGGTTGACGCTCAACCACTGAGCCACGCCAGCCAGGCCTATCACCTATTCTTTGCGGTTCTGGTCCTAGTCCGGTACCTGGCACAGTCGGTGCTGGTTGAAGGAAACCTCACATTTATGTGTCTCCTCCTTCCCACCCTGATGTGGCTTTTGGAACTGATTGCAAATGCAGGCTTGGCATGACGGTGGGGGCTGGGGGTGGGGGGTATGAGGGAGGCTCCTTACTCTTCTTCTAGCCCTTCCACTTTGTCGGATGTTTTACTACCCGTCTTCCTTTTCTAGGCCTTCTCTCTCCATGTGCCAGAGCCTCCCTCTTCCCACAGCAGCCTTCCCTTTGCCCCCTCTCCACGAGGCTTCCCCGCAGACTTGATCCCCTCCCACCGTCCAGCACCATCTCCAGCTCCTGGACTTCCTCTCCTGGATCTGTGCTTCCTTTTGTTTCTACCTCTCATCACTCTTTCAGTCAGACGCCTACCCCATCCTAGACCAGCGCCCTCAGTGTGTCCCAATGCGCTCCCCTCTTCTCTCCTCTCTGAGCCCAAATTCCCTGGCTCTGTGCCTCCTCCAGCACCCGCCTCTGCTGCTCCCGGTAACACCTGTACACGACTCATCTCCGTTTCCCTAGAATTTCTGCATGATCTGCCTTCATCTTCCTAAAAACCTTGAGGAACAGCTGTCTCCCTCATCACTGTTCCCCTCTCGGCCACTTGCTTCAGGCTTTAGCAGATGTTCCTTAAGTATTTGTTGAAGGAATGATGATTCTCTTACCTTCCTTATGTTCTATTTATTTGAATTTCAGTGTTTGTGCCATTTTGTAGATTTTTTTCCCCACTGGGATGTCCAGTGGCGTATATATCTGTATATCCCTGCGTATTCGAAGCTCCTCTGACTCAGTTTATTAAATGTTGCCTGTGTGGTTCCTCTGGATCCCTGTGCCAGGTGCTGGGAGCAGGTGTGTAGAAAGGCAGCGTGTCAGGGCAGGGCGTTTAACGGCCTTTCCCCTCTTCAATATCATTAGGACCCAAAGAGCTTTTGCTTATGTGGCTTATTTACTTATTAAAGTGACTATATTCAGAATTAACACTGAACTCATTCAAAAATAATAAGAAATCCACTTCATGAAAACATAAATAACATTTTTATGAGAAGTAACTTCATCTTCCAAACAAAAATGGTTAGTGGAAAGAATGGCAATGTGTTATGTTTCTGTAAATCTCTTTCATTCCTGGTCCGTTAGAAAAGACCTGGATGTTCGTATCTGTTTCAGTATTCACTGTATTGCGATGTTTTAGAGGAACCGTATGAGGACTGTCTGGCCTCACTCAGGTGCGTGGCTGAAAAGGCAGGAGTGTTTTTAACAGTCATTTCAGATCATCGTGGGTATTTTTTCAGGTATTCCACCCGCACTCAACCGTGGCAGCTTCTTAAAGGTTAATTGTAATGTGGACTCTGAATCTGTTATCAATGAACTTTTTCGTAGTTACTTAAATGTCATTAGTCGTTCTTGCCCCTGAAATAGCTCATTTGCTCATAGATGATGTTGCAACATCATGCTTCAGCCATTTAGAAAATACTGGTGCCCTGAGTTACGCAGCTTTTCTAAATATTGGTGCACAGCGTTGTACAAAAAAACCAAACACACTCGAAACCACATTTGCTAACACTGCTACCAATCTCGTCAGGAAGGTCTTTGGGGAGCTGTTGGGTTCATAGTGGCTAACGTAAGTTTTCTAAGGTTCTAATTTCTGTTTGAAAATTAGCGTCGTACCATTTGCAGCCCAAGCTGTAAGTTATTTCTCTGGAAACGACAGGCTCCCTTGTTTTGTCTTTGAGGAGATAATGCCCATATCCGTGGGCTTTTCTAAAAGTCCTTCCAAGTAGAAGATGTTCTGGAGGAAGTGGCCAGCGAGCCCTCAGCGTGGCCACGTGAGTGCTTCTGCTTCAGAGGGCCCCGCTTGGCATGCGGCAGAAGCACTTCCCTATTTTGTCACACAGAATGGTAAAGGGATCAAGGGCCAAGGTTTCACTTATTTATTTTATTAAATTTATCTTTATTGTTGAAAGTATTACAGATGTGTCTCCCCTCTGCCCCCAGTGACCCTCTACACCCTGCTCCCTCCCCTCCCCAGGCCTTCACCGCACTATTGTCTGTCCATGGGTTATGCATATATGCACATAAGTTCTTTGGTTAATCTCTTTTTCCTGCTCCCACCTTTCCCTCTGAAATACCTTAGTCTGCTTCATGCTTCAATGTCTCTGGATCTATTTTGTTAAGGGTCAATGTCTTAATAAAATTAACCGTTTTTGCTGCTTCATCAAAGACACTCTTAAATGAAACTGATCTTTTTAATGACTGCGTGGCCAGGAGTAGCCCAGTGACCGCTAGGGCACTGTGAGCCCTGCCCCGTCTAGTGCCATTGCCCAGCAGCGTATATTGTCAACACTGTGAAAAAGGCAGATAACGTCTTAGTATTGTTCTTTTTTATTTTTTTAAATACATTTTGATTTTAGAGAGGAAAGACGAGGGAGAGAAACATCAGTGATGAGAGAGAATCATCGATTGGCTGCCTCTTGCATGCCCTCTACTTGGTATGGAGCCCGCAACGTGGTCATATGTCCTTGACCAGAATCGAACCCGGGACTCTTCAGTCTGCAGGCCGATGCTCTATCCACTGAGCCAAACTGGCTAGGGCTTAGTATTGTTCTGAAGGGGGTTTGACCTACTTCCCAGTCCTCCTTGTGAAGGTCTTGGGGACCCCGGAGTCCATGGCCTAGGCTTTGATACCCCTGGGGAAATGCAGCCTCAGCCCCCACAGAGCTGGACTCACTCCCTGACCTCCACGTTTCAGATGAGCCCGCCTTCCACCCCTGGCCCTGGCCCTGGCCCTGCTTGCTGTATTTTTCTCCATATCCCTTGCCACCATTTAATATACTGTATTCTCCACTTTGTCCTCCTCCCTCCAGTAAGATTCAAGCTCAGGACGGCGGAGGCGTTTATTGCTGTACTCCCAGCGCTACGAGTAGTTGGTACCTGGCGCACAGAGGCAGGAGTGTTAAGTCTTTGAATGAGTGACTGAATGAATGAATGACAGTGGCAGGCCGGAGGAGAGTAGCTCATGCCTTTGCCCCGTTCCCCATGGGGTCCCGGCCTCTGTTGACTTCTGCTCTCCCCGGTTCTCCAGCCAGTGCTGCCCCACACCGCCGTGTGCCTAGTGTGTGGCGAGGCGGGGAAGGAAGACACGGTGGAAGAGGAAGAAGGCAAGTTTAACCTCATGCTCATGGAGTGCTCCATCTGCAACGAAATCATCCACCCTGGATGCCTTAAGGTGAGCGGCCCCGGGGGCACCGGGCTATGCTGCTCGACACCCCTCCTCGAGGCCTCTAGTGTTGGTGAAGCTCGGGGGGCAGGGGACACTTAGACTCCTCCATGGAGGGCCCTCACATCGGGGGCATTCTGTGTGTCAGATACGAGCTGAGGGCAAGAAGGGTCTGGAGTAGCTCCGACCTCACGCACAGGTGCAGGGCTCCCCCCACCCCCAGGCAGTACCTCAGAACTATAGAGTTTCCAGAGGCTCCACCTGGGCCAGAGGGAGACGCTGGCTGGTCAGGCTGCTTGCTGGGACCCTGGCTTGGGGCTTCTGACCGAACCGGGGCTTGGCCAGGTGAGGGCCATAACACTAGGGCAGCCGTGGGCAAACTACGGCCCGCGGGCCGGATCCGGCCGTTTGAAATGAATAAAACTAAAAAAAAAAAAAAAACCGTACACTTTTATGTAATGATGTTTACTTAATGATGTTTACTTTGAATTTATATTAGTTCACACAAACGCTCCATCCATGCTTTTGTTCCAGCCCTCCGGTCCAGTTTAAGAACCCATTGTGGCCCTCGAGTCAAAAAGTTTGCCCACCCCTGCACTCGGGGGTTGTGTTCCCGGGTGCCGGGGACCTGCCCTTGGTGTGTGCAGCAGGGCTGCAGTCTGGGGGCGGCCGTGCTGTGCCTGCCTGTCTTGGGCAGCAGGTTCTTCCTTTGAAAGGAAGAGACTGTTGTGGGCTGGCACACAGCTTCTGTCCCAGGAGAATGTCGACATACCTGGCACCTCCCTGTCAGCTTGTGTGCATCTGTGTGTTTTAAAGAGGTCAGGGTGGGCCTGCCCCAAATGGTACCTGGGCCCTGAGTGTCCCCTTTCCCTGGGTGGCCTGACCGGTCTGTTGTGACGCTCACCGCCTGCCCCCTCTCTCTCACACACACACGGACTCTCACTCTGAAGGGGACGCTTTGCTATTCCCAGACTTTGGAAGTCAGACCACCACGTCTTAATTGCCTGGTTACTTCTCTCTCCCACATCAGCAGCTCCTCCAGGGAGGGGACAGCAGGTCTGACTTGCTCACACCCAGCACCGCCCAGTACAGGGCTAGTCAATGAATTCAGAGTCACCTGTCTTAACCACTCTTGTTTTCTTTTAGCCAAAGATGGGCTGGAAATGGCATTGGGGGGGACTAGGGCTGGGGGGGGGGGGGCCTCTAATGCTCCTGGCAGGAGTGGCCTCTTCCAACCCCCTCCCTGTTTGCTGACTGGCTGTCCCTGGCAGATTAAGGAGTCAGAGGGCGTCGTCAACGATGAGCTTCCAAACTGCTGGGAGTGTCCGAAGTGTAACCACGCCGGCAAGACCGGGAAAGTGAGTGCCGGGCTCCCAATCCCAGGGGTCAGCCCGGGAGGGACGGGCGGACCTCGGCCTTGCCAGTCCAACCTGTGCCCACATGGTTGGCTGGTGGGTGCTCTGGGCTCAGGGCAGGGCGCTCGTCCAAAGATATACAGTGCGCCTGTCCCTTCTCTCTTTTTGGCCTACAAGCAAAAGCGTGGCCCTGGCTTCAAGTACGCCTCCAACCTGCCCGGCTCCCTGCTCAAGGAGCAGAAGATGAACCGGGACAACAAGGAAGGCCAGGAGTCGGCCAAGCGGAGGAGCGAGTGTGAGGAGGCGCCCCGGCGCCGGTCGGACGAGCACCCCAAGAAGGTGCCCCCAGACAGCATCCTGCGCCGAAAGTCAGACGACGTGCACCTGAGGAGGAAGCGGAAATACGAGAAGCCCCAAGAGCCGAGTGGACGCAAGCGAGTACGTCCTGGGAGGGGAGGGGCGGGGCGCGGGTGGCCCAGCCGGTCCGGGGCAGGGGGGCGGGGGCGCAGGGCGTGGATGGGCGGTTGGGAGAAGTTGGGACCCTGGCCTCTGGCTATCCTGAGAGCCCCGCCCCACAGAAAGGAGGGGGAAACTAGCCAGTCACTCCTCTTCCCACCCCTTTAGGCCTCGACTCTCCAGACGTCCCCTGGTTCCTCCTCTCACCTCTCGCCGAGGCCCCCTCTAGGCAGCAGCCTCAGCCCTTGGTGGAGATCCAGTCTCACCTACTTCCAGCAGCAGGTGCGCCCACTTCGCCCCGCCCTCCGGACGCCCTGGGGACTTGCCAGCCCCAGGCCACCCCTCCACCCCGAACCCCGCCCCCCTGGTTCTCCTGCCCCCGAGTTTCCCAGGCCTCTGCCCAGATCACTGGCTCGGGGTCCTGGCGCGGGGCCTGGGAAGCTGAACTGTGGCGGGGCAGCCCTGCGGATCTGGGAAACCTCGGTGGCCCCGCTCCGCCCACTGGCCCTTCCAGCATCAGCCACCAGGTGGCGCCTGGTTCTGTTCTCCCCGCTCTGGCCGTAAAGGCTCTGCCTCCAGGACGCTCCCAGGGCTAAGTCCACCTGAACGGGCCACTGCATATCTCTGGGTCTGGCCAAGGGTGGGAGGTCAGCTGGGTGGGAACAGTTGGGCCACACTACCCTGCCCCCAGCCTCTTCCTTAAAACCAGCCGGCAGGGCCCCCCCATCAGAGTGGGTTTGGGGGGAGGTGCCCCTCCAGCCCCTACTCTAGAGACCACGGACTGGTGCTGGGGCTGGGTGCAGAGGGGACCAAATCCCTCGAGCCTGGGAGCAAGCTCTGCATTCTCTCTGTTCTGTGACAGCTGAAACCTGGCAAAGAAGATAAGCTTTTCAGGAAAAAGGTACCCACTGTCCCTGCCCTCCCCTTCCTTTCCTTCACCTCACGCCTGGACTGGGGCAGGATCCTGGGAAGAGGGTGGGGAGGCCTGAGGGGATGCAGCCCTGAGCGGGGACTTACCTGCCCTTGCCCCCTGCTCACCTGCCCTTGCCCCCGTCCTTCCTCAGCGGAGGTCCTGGAAGAATGCCGAGGACCGGATCGCTCTAGGCAACAAGCCGCTCCGGCGCTTCAAGCAGGAACCGGAGGACGACCTGCCTGAGGCGCCCCCCAAGACCAGGGAGAGCGACCATTCCCGCTCCAGCTCCCCCACAGCGGGGCCCAGCACCGAGAGCGCGGAGGGTCACGACGAGAAGAAGAAGGTGAAAATGCGCCGGAAACGGCGGCTCCCCAACAAGGAGCTGAGCAAGGAGCTGAGCAAGGAGCTCAATCAGGAGATCCAGAAGACGGAGAGCAGCCTGGCCAATGAGAACCACCAGCCCATTAAGTCGGAGCCCGAGAGTGAGAACGAGGAGCCCAAGCGGCCCGTGGGCCTCTGCGAGCGCCCCCATCGCTTCAGCAAAGGGCTCAACGGCACCCCCCGGGAACTGCGACACCAGCTGGGGCCCGGCCTGCGCAGCCCACCCCGCGTCATCTCCCGGCCCCCTCCTTCCGTGTCCCCGCCCAAGTGCATGCAGATGGAGCGACACGTGATCCGGCCGCCGCCCATCAGCCCCCCACCCGACTCGCTGCCCCTGGACGATGGGGCGGCCCACGTCATGCACAGGGAGGTGTGGATGGCCGTCTTCAGCTACCTCAGCCACCAAGACCTGTGTGTCTGCATGCGGGTCTGCAGGACCTGGAACCGCTGGTGAGGCAGCGGGCTGGTTGCGTGCCCGGATCTGGGCTAAGGGTTGGCTAGACCAGGGATGGAGTGTGGGTGGAAAGTAGGGTCCCACCTTGAGTCCGTGGTCATGCCCTGCTTCTAAGCCCAGTCCAGCTTAATTATCTTCCTCCAAGAGTTCCAGCAGCTACCGCAGTCCGGTCAGTCTGGACTTGTCAAAAGAGGTGAAGCCTATTTGATTTCCTGACGTAGCTCCTTGGAAGATGAACTGAAGACCAGGTGGAGCCCTGGCCTGAAGTGTTAGCCCGGCTTATTAACAGCAATGGTGCCAGTGACTGACCTTAAGCCCAGCTTTGATATTTCCTAGCTTTCTGGCCGTTATTTACCTTCATCGTGAATGGGTACATAACTGCTCAGGCTTGTTTTGAGAAACGGTGTGTAGAGCAGTGGTTCTCAACCTTGGCTGCACATTAGAATCACCTGGCAATCTTTTTAAAATCCTGATTTCTGAGCCTCATCCTCCGGAAATTCTGTTTCTTTGTTACTAATGTGATTCCCAGGTGATTCTAATGTGCAGCCAAGGTTGAGAACCACTGGTGTAAAGGGTGTGCTAAGCCCCCATTAAGTGCTTAATGGAGAACAGGTGCCAGCACCTTCCAGGGAGGGCCTGAGGCAGTCACAGCAGAGGTGCCCAGGTGCAGGCAGACGGGACCTAAACAGAAGGGTCCAGAGGGTGGAGATAGGAGCCTGTCCCTGAGATTGGAAAGTGAGGAGTTGTCACAAGTGAGACCCCAACTCTGACAGCACCCCCTCTTCTGGGTCTGGCCTCCAGGTGCTGTGATAAGCGGTTATGGACCCGCATCGACCTGAACCACTGCAGGTCCATCACGCCCCTGATGCTGAGCGGCATCATCCGGCGACAGCCCGTCTCCCTGGACCTCAGCTGGACCAATATCTCCAAGAAACAGCTGAGCTGGCTCATCAACCGTTTGCCAGGTGAGTGCAGGGCCAGGGACCCCAAATGTGCAGGTGCGGGGGCTGGTGCATCACCTGACCTGCGACCCCTTCTCTGTTCCCCCAGGGCTCCGAGACTTGGTGCTGTCAGGCTGCTCATGGATCGCGGTCTCGGCCCTCTGTACCTCCAGTTGTCCGTTGCTCCGGACCCTGGATGTCCAGTGGGTAGAAGGGCTAAAGGATGCCCAGATGCGGGATCTCCTGTCTCCGCCCACAGATAACAGGCCAGGTGAGGGGCCAGGCTTGGGGGCAAGGCCATGGGGAGGTGGTGTGACCAAGCTGCGCTGTTGGGTCTGATTTTCACCACAACGGTGTGTAGAGGGTGTGCAAAGCCCCGATTACATGCTTAATGGAGAACGGGTGCCATCTGGTGAGCGTGTCCTCCAGCCTGCTCTGGCCTCTGCCTGTCCCCAGGAGATGGCTGGGGTTTGGCTGCTTTGTGCTCAGTTTGCTTCTGGCACCCAGGGGCTCTCACAAATCCCACTGCTTCTGTTAGTTTATCCGGCATCGGCGTCAGGCCCCCTGGAGCATCAGGTCAGGGTGGTTGGACAGGGGCTCCCGTGGAGCTCTCCGAGGTCGGGTTTCTGGGGTCATTGCTCCCCGTCAGCAGCTTAAATGAGGAAACCGTTTGGCCCAGTACTGCTGGGTGGAGAGTGGGCTCTGTGTTTCTAGGTCTTCGGAACTTTCAAGAATCTGTGTGTAAAATTTGATGTATATTTTTTTTATTGATTTAAGAGAGGAAGGGAGAGGGAGATAGTGATATAAACATCAATGATGAAAGAGAGTCATTGTTTGGCTGCCTCCTGCATAGGTCGACACTTAACCACTGAAACACACTGGCCAGCCGATCATCTGATTCTTAAATATTGGAACTGATTCTGACTTTTGGGGGGAAACACTCAATGACGAACTGAAACCAAGTGCGATGTCTGGCTGGTAGGCCTTTTTGTGTCCTGTCAGGTTGATCGATGCCTCTCTCCTCCCTGCCCCTCAGGTCAGATGGACAATCGGAGCAAGCTCCGAAACATCGTGGAGCTGCGTCTAGCAGGCCTGGACATCACCGACGCCTCCCTGCGGCTCATCATCCGCCACATGCCCCTGCTCTCCAAGCTCCACCTTAGTTACTGTAACCATGTTACTGACCAGTCCATCAACCTGCTCACTGCAGTGGGCACCACCACCCGGGACTCCTTAACAGAAATCAACTTATCAGGTCAGTCGGGGACACCCATCAGGGACTGACCAGCATCCCGTGGGACAAGCTGGGAATTTCACATTTGTGCACCTGCTATTATTATAGGATCCCAGTGTTCGGTGTTAGGACATAGCAGTGATCAAGACAGATACACAGCCCAGTGTAGAGGGGAAACATGCTGCAGAAGTTATTACCAGATTTGTAATAATTGCTACCAGAAATGCTGGTAGCTGTGAGCACATAGAACTGTGGTTCCTGGCCCAAAACAAGCGCCAGGGAAGCTTCCCTCAGTGGGCACAGGCTGGCACCTGGTGGGATGAGTGCTGTGGGATGGGTGGGGAGCAGTGGGCAATGAGGCCAGGCCAGGCCCAGTAGGCTTTCACTGGGAGTAAGCAGCTTGCTTTCTGTCATTGTTGTCTTAAATTTCATGCATCCTTCCTGACCCTGCTGCCACAGGGCCTGTGGTTGGAGAGAAGAAACCTCCAGTGCCCTATGGTTTGGCATCTTGTTGCACTTGCTGATGGGGAGGGAGTTTGTTTTTAAGGAACTGGGACATGAGGGACAGTGGCATGATTTTTCTGAAAGAATTCCACATCCTCCATCACTTGTTTTTGCAGCAAGCTTATAAAGAGGGTCAGCCACTTGGTGGGGAGGAATTTGAGAGATTGATCGAAAGGTTAAGGGGTACCCTTGGAACAGGTGAGGTGTTAAAACCCTCCCACCCCGTCACTTTTCCCATCTAACTGCCCGGCCTTCGTTTATTAGTGGCACCGCCTGTGATGCAGACAGCATTCCATTGTGCTGGTTCCAAGTTCATGAATTCCCATGGCCTTTATGAGATCGGGTTATACTTACACTATCTGAAATGTGCATCCAAGCATCTGGGCACGGCTGTGCGGAGATGTTGTGTTGACCTGAGGGCATTGCTTGAAAGGGGCAACTCTGATTGTTTGAAAGGCGGTCAGTCAGTTCTTTGCTGACTCATGTGGTGCTGTCACTTTGCTTCCTTACGCCACCTCCTAACCTGCAGGGACGTTGATAAGACAGGTACTGCTGGCCTCCTGTGCATTACCTACAGGGACTTTGATAAGCTAGAGGTAGTGCCGGCCTCGTGTGCTTTACTGCAGGGGCTGGAATATGCTCAAGAGCTCAGTCCAGTTTCTCCGTTGCTGAGCGCCTGGGATTTGGGGGCCTGTGTTCAGGCTCCACGTTCCCTCCAACCTCACATTGTGTTCCTCTTCCCTGCAGACTGCAATAAGGTCACTGACCAATGCCTGTCCTTCTTCAAACGCTGTGGAAATATCTGTCATATTGACCTGAGGTACTGCAAGCAAGTCACCAAGGAAGGCTGTGAGCAGTTCATAGCTGAAATGTCTGTGAGTGTCCAGTTTGGGCAAGTGGAAGAAAAACTCCTGCAAAAACTGAGTTAGTCCAGGACTAGTGTGTAAATACGGGGTGGGTGGGGGGAAGGGGCAGCGCCATGGGGAGGGAAAAAGACTTTACAGAAACTAGGGCTTTTCTTTTCAATTTGGAACTTGGAACAACAGACTACGGAGCGATACCATTTTGCAAGTCTTGCCAAGGCAATGCCGTTCCACCACCCATTTTGGGGATGAGTGAGCTGGACATTTGGGTTATTATGAATAGTAACTGCACTGCTTTCTGGACCATTTCTAAGGCGTCCTTTACCAAGAAGACATTCCTGTTGGAGAGGAGGATGAACTTTGGAGAAATTCTCTTGCTGAAGCATGAGCTTAGGAGTTTATCTGGGTTTTTTTGTGGGTTGTTTTTTTTTTTGTGGTGGTGTTTTGTTCTGGACACCTCATTCCTTGCAACTCCGGGGTTTTGGTGTCAACATTAAGTGGACCACACAACACATCTGCCGTCTTGACATATTTTGTTTGGTTTTTGTTACATCTTACATTATGAGGAATTATTTTTGTACAAATTGTTTAAAAGTTATTTATGCAAGGTTTGAATGCATATCAGTGTTTTTATTGTTTTATGATTGCCAACTTTCCTGGTTTCCTTGAGGTAGGAGAAAACTTACCCTGGACTTCATCAACACAAATAATCCATCTATACATGTGCCCAGACCTGGCAGAGCAGGCTGAGACCTTCCGGTTAAAAGCATGTTTACCTGGAAGCGGAGAGCCTGCTGTGGACGTTAAGAAATTACATAAGCATGTTGTGCATATATGTAAAGTATAGTGGAAGTAAGACACTTTGCCAAGGTTCCCCTGTATAGAATTCACCCTTTTCTCAAAAATTTTAAAATTGAACTTCAACCTTTGCACTCAGGAGGGTTTGCTCCAGCATGAGCTCTTGGACTCTACATAGATCTAATTTATATGGTGAGTCAAGTAGAGTAAATGACCCAACGTAGCCTTTCTTTTCCTTTTCTCTCTCCTTTGAAGTGTGAGCAGAGTTCTCGTTTCAGGTTTATAACATGGCTATTTCCCAGTTGTAAAGATATGCATTCATAAGTGCCATTGTTGTTTGGTGGTGTTTTCCTAGACCTTCCCGACTCAGTTTTACCTTTGTTGAATTTGTATAAACAATTGTACAAAAAAAACCCCACTCTTGGACTTTGAGGGTTTCTGTTCTAGGAGTGGACTAGACATTTGATTAGAAAGTCTAGGGGCACTAATCTCAACACTAGTATACATTGTTTTGAAGCCAAGCAAGCTGTAATTTCTTATTCATCTGAGAATTGCTGTAGTCCCTTTGGAGAAGGAGAGAGAGAAACATTAATGATAGAGAATCATTGCCTCATGCACACCCCCTACTGGGGATCGAGCCCGAAACCCAGGCATGTGCCGTTGGCGAGACCTCCTATTTCGTACATAGGTCAACGCTCAACCACTGAGGCACACCAGCCGGCTTTCCTCATCTTTAGAGAGAGATCTTACTGTTTATGGCTAATAAAGGTAGTGGGAAAGAACTATGCTACACAATGTCCACTTGGTATTTTTACTGCCAAAGGTGGGGGTGTGTGGAGTCCATTTTCTCAACCTCCCATTAGAGGCAACTCAAGGCTACATCCTGTGCTTTAGTAGCCTTGGGCCAGGGTAGCTGGAGAGGCTTGGTTATGAGGTAACTTCCCCAGGTGGCGGATGCAGAAACTAGTGAGAAGTAATTTTAGATCTAACGGCAGAGCCTTGCAACCTTGTACTCAAATACAGAAAGAAATGCTCTAGTGAATCTGAAAATGGAGAAGATAACCCCACTTCCTGCCTCCATAATCAGTAGCAACATAAAACTTGGGTCTCGTGGGACAAGCCTTTTCTGCTAACGGTAGTTTTCATATTGCTGGCCCCTCCCTTTATCTTTCTGTTTGTCATGGCAAAATGATTGTAGAGCCCATCTAGGTTGTGCCTTCTGTTAATTTAAATCCATAGATTCTTTCTGACTTAGATTGGAGACATCTGAAGCTGTTGCACCCCAGAATTTAATTTGGGAGATGCATTTAACATATTAGTTTAACACTCTATGGTTTATTTATAAAACATGGCTTACCCTTGCAAGCCTGACGGTTCATCATGGAGCACCCCCATTGGAGGTCAAGTTTTGGTTTTCTTGACAGCCTGAGTTCTCTGAACCCCTGGGTCAGTTCCCCTGATGTCCAGTAGAGGCATCCTCTTCCTGGGGAATTGTTTTAAGGAACATCATGGTTTTCAGGTAAACAGACCTGTGTTAGAGGCCCCTGATTGTCCTATAACGTTTCTGGGAGCACCCAGGCTTGCTGAGAGGAGGTTCCAGAGCTGGGAATCCGTAGCTACCATAGGGACATAGAGCCAAGACACAGCATCTCACCAGGCTTGAGGTAGGTTGCCATAGTGGTTTTAACAGGTGATCTCCCTCCCAAGTATATTGAAAAATCTAGCTGAGGTTTTACCCCAGCACCCAGTCTCAGTACAGACCTGTCATTTAAAAAATGAGCTTTAGATAAGGCCAAGCTGAGCTAAATGCTTGCAAACAGCTGCTCTGAGTCCATACAACATTATCTGATGATGTAATGAAAGTAACATAAACCCGAGGTGGTGCTTCCTGTGTGAGATCACAGCTAAGAATTCAGGAAAGAGAGGCTCCATCCCTCCTTCCTCTAGGAAACCTTGTTTACAAAGGAAGACACCGTGACTCCTCTAAAGCATCAAGTGCCATCCTTTTATATTGTGAGGACAGGGACAAGGAGATGTCATTGTATTCTGTTTTGGACTTTCAGAATTTTATCCATATTATTATGTATTCAAAAAATTAACTTCAAGAGGCATGGTATGCCAGCTATAAAATGTAGACTTCAGAGAGAAATGTTTGCTTTTTGCCAAACAAGTTAGTACCTTGTAATTCAGTTATTCTAAGTGTCAAGCCTGTTAGGCTAAAAATTTGTTGGTTTCTCACTAAACCAAGGTGACTTTGAAACACCACTTAAAAAGATCCTCCATTAAGTTTTTATCCTTTTGCTAAAACAAGCACTTGAAACTTATATAAACCCAAGAGGAAATCATTAAGTAAGTTGTTTTAAGCTGAGACTATGTGCAAATAAATCTCACTTTTCTAATTTAACCTTAGACAAACCAGCACCTACTGCTCAGCTTCTAAATGTGCTTGTTATTGAGGGCTGGTCTGGATTTGAAGACTTCCCAATTTGTGGGGAGGGCTGAATTTCTGGAGCTCACTGTCTTACAATAAGTAAGGCAAGATAAGTGCTCCTAAAGCTTCAGCAGGTGCCGAGTTTTATGGCTTCTGTAGGGAGGCAATGACCTGCTCATGCTGGTTAGTGTGAACCGCAGCCGACACCGACCCTGGGCTCTTATGAAAAGGGAGCTACAGCTCTAGCCAGTGTGGCTCAGTGGATAGAACGTTGGCCTACAGACCAAAAGGTCCCGTGTTTGATTCCGGTCAAGGGCACATACCTTGGTGTGGACACCCATTCACACTATACCCAAGTGAATTAGACACTAACTAGGACAATGTAAAGAAAAGCATTTTTGAAAATCTAATTTTATTCCTAAAGTTCAAATTAGCTAGCAGTAGCACTGAAAATACACTTTCACTATACAAAACAGTGTAAACCAATTACACATTAGTAAAGAATTTAACACACACTTTTCTCTAGTGAAGAAGCTAGATGCAGCCCTTGCTATAAAAAGCTGTACCTGAACAGAAATGGACATGTTATTAGTCTCTAAGGCCCTGGCAGTTGACTATATAGATAAATGTCAGTGTTCTCAATGAAGTTTAAATTCAGAAATAGCAACAATGTGGAAACTTACATTCATCAAATAGTAGCATTTAAAATATCCATGACTAATAAAGTGAACATTCAGAGGTACCACTGCTCAGCATGTACCATGTTGGTCAGTTGTGGACAGTGATCTCATCCAAACAGAAGTTTCAAACATCTGAGTAGTTTAAGCTAAAAACAGAAGAACGGAGAAGAGAAATGTCCTCCAAAGGGAGAGTAGCTGATGCCATCAGCAATCTGACTTCAGGAGTTACTGATCACAGACGTGTGATGAAGCCGGGCTAAACCTGGGAAACAGCATGTCCACAGGCTGACAGGTGTATGGCACAGACCAATGTTGCCGTAACTTACTATGAATCTTTGTTCCCAGTTAGTAGTGAAAATAATTTTAAAAAATAACTTCAACTTTTGAACAGTAAGTTTCCAGTCCCTCTCTGTGCACGGAAATGTCTGGGTTCAAGCTTGGGGGCGAATGTCCTATCGGGAAGAGCGTCTACTTCAGGACTTGAACACGTGCACAGCGCGCACCACATATTGTCGGCAGATGGGACACTCACTCATGCGCTTGCCGCACTTGGTGCAGGTGACCATGTGCCCACACTCAAGCAGGACACAGTCGATGACAGCATCCATGCAGATCCGGCACAGGCTGTCATCTTCCTCTTCCTGCAGCTGCAGCCGCTCACCATCTGAAAGGTAACAGAGAGCTAGAACTGCACCTAATAGGCTGAGCAGCCACCTGCTGAGTGACCACAATAGGCACAGCATGATCCTGCAGTAAGAAATAATCCCAACTTCTCTGCACTTCCCTCCACTAGAGATGGCAATATTAATGCCTACACCTGGTAGAGTTTTGTGAGAATAAATGAGAGATGCTTAGCTTAGACCAGGTATAAAGTGCCCAACAAATGTTAGCTATTTAATTCTATGTAATTCCAGGTTTTGGTGAGGATTGCTTCTGTAAATAAAAATGAGGAAACCTAGGTTGTCCTTAATATGGGCCTTAGAGTCAGAAACGCTTGGAATTTTCCGCCACCTCCAACTTGGGAAAGTTGCAGTGTCCGGGGCCTCATGTCAGCAGGAAAAAGTTATATTTCCATAGTGAAGTTACAAAGAGTTGTACATCAAGTAGCCTGTAGTTGGAGGAAGCCCCAGACTCCAGCCTTGGAAACATCTCAAAAGCCACCTATGTTTCTGGCCACCCTGGTACTGATGAAATGTAACTGAAAAGGGCTGCGAGCTTTTTCTGGCTCTCTGGCCCAGATTAGGTTTTGAGAAAATCCAGAATCTGAATAAGAAAGGTGCTAAATGAATTCTAAAAGTTCACAGCTTGCCTGCCATGACTGGTATGACTCATTCAGTTGGAGTGTCATCGTATACCAAAAGGCTGCGAGATCAATCCCTGGTCAGGTCACATGGAAGGCAACCAATCGATGTTCTCTCTCTCCTTCCCTTCTCTAAAATCAATAAGCATATCCTTGGGTGAGGATTAAAAATTTTTTTTTTAAGTTCATAGTCTGAGATTTGGACCTAGAGTTAGAGATATTGAGGCTTCCATTTCTACAAGTCACAGAAAGGATCAATGGGGATCATGAATATGGTTTGGAAGGACAATAATTCAAGATTGAAAAAGCCAGTAATCCCTGGATTTAAGAGAAATAAACACTGTCACAGAAATAAATTTGACTTGTAACAGAAACAGCCCAGCTTCTAAAGCCTAAGGAAGG